ATTATGTTTGCATCATAGAGGATTCATCACAATAATAGTCTTACTTCATGCAAGTACAGTACCATCAAAATGCGAACAGAAAGGATCCATTATGATTTTATCTTAGGTAAAATACTGGTTCCATATATGTACAGACGGCTTGGAGGTAATTTATCATGGAAAAGGAAGCTCCACATTCAGTCTGTTTTCCAATATGCTTGTGCTTGTCCTTAATTCGTCCCCAAAGCCTGCACATCTGCTAAATCCCATTCAACTCCCCAGACACCTTTAGAACACAAGACTCTGCCATCATCTCAGCAGTCATCAGCTTCTGCTCACAGCTGGGGGAACAAAAAAAACAAAACAAAAAAAACAGCACCTGCTTATTAAATCCAGGTCTACCTTTACAGACCACTGTGTGTTTGTACAGAGGATTTATGTTAATTTTTAAAGAGCAAAAAATAAAAAAATACTTATTTAAACATTAAAAATACCTTTGTTCCAGACAGAGTACACTGCAAAAAAATTTAACCTACCGTAAATAAGTTATTTTTCCTTAAAATAAATACAATTTTTATTTAAAATAAGAAAAAAACAATTGCATAGTGCTATTTGAAGTGCATATTATCCAGTTATCTTATTTAAAGAATAAAAAATCTAATTCTCTCAATCTCCATTGGCAAATCATCTTATTTACCTACTCAAATTAAGGGTTAAATACACGTAATTTAAGAAATTTGACTCATTTCTAGATCATTTTTGCAGAGTAGAAACTCTGCAACATCATATCAAGTAAGGCTTGGCGGATTCCGTCTTACCTGCTGCTTTACCTTTTAAGACATTTTAACTTTTTTGTGTACTTAGGTAGTAGTTTTGAGTAGATTTAACCACTTTACCAAAATGAAAGAAGAAAATAAATAGGTTAATTGTATTTATTACTAAAAACAAAATGCATAAAAACATGGACTGTTTGAATCACTGGCTGGTGCTTCACCATCAGCAGTTTGCAAAGTTTTATTGTTTTATAACCAAATATTGTAAGTAATAAAGAAAAATCAAAATTGACAAAATACAAATCAGGTTGTCACAAGTTACTTTTATTTTCTACTAAAATACATGTTCCATGCAGGTGTTTTCACTTTCCACAACAGCCACTAGAAACACAATGAAACGTCCTGGAAGCATTTTGCCTCACGACAATATAGGCAAATGAGATGTTAAAGTAGGAACAGCATTTTGTTTTGTGCAAATTCTACAAACAGTGAGTCTCCATCTGCTGTCACAAGCTTACATCCCAGACTATCAAGCTTATTCAATCTGGTTCACAGTCCTCAACCTTTTTACAAAATCCATCTGGGGGAAAAAAAAAACAAAAAAAGTATTGCTTTACAAATAAATAAAACTCAGTGAACATAATGTTGGCATAATCAGCTGATATATTAGCATGTTGTAAAAAAACATAAACCACACCACCAAATTTGAGTCATCGACAGATCAGATCCATTATCGTTTTTATCATAAAGGGTTTTATAGACAAAAACCTGGCAAATTAAACAGTTTATTGTCATTCAGTTGAACAATAAAAAGCTTATGATAATTAAAGCACATGGATGGCTTCGTGTTTTTCAAAATTCCACCCAGACTTTAGCTGGAAGGTTCATCGTTATTTTTGTACATTTCGGATAAAAACTCCAGATTTTACAGTACCGGTATTCCTTTTTTTTTTTTTTTAGAAATGCAACTTTAACTGCTCATCATAAGCCTCAGAGCCTTAGATCTTTATTGAAATTATTTTACTAACAACTGCCAGATTGTCAAGATAAGCTAATAAAACCAACATATATAAAAACATTCCTAGAGAAATGTTCTAGTAACAGGTGATGACCTGGGAGAGGCTGTAATGTAAGGAGGCCGACGCTCGAACCCTATGACAGATCAGCCTTTGCACACTTAGTTCTCGCTTTATAGATGTGTTATAAGGCTTAAATTAAATGGGGATTAAAGAGAATGACTTTATTCCTTTTTCTTTACCTCTCCTCATTGCACAAGATAAATGGGTCCTTGTTCAGCCGTGTTTGTCACAGCTGCTGTTATTTTACACGTTTTACTTATTGCTCCGTCTTTGATCAAACTTAAATAGGTAAAGTTCAAATAGAAGAAAAATACTAAAGTTACATTTATATAAAGGGTTTTTTGTTTCAAATAACTTTGATTTTGTAGGGGAAAAAAAGTTTTATTTTCTAAAAATAAAGGTTTAGGGTTTCCAATTTAGAAATATTTTATTGTATTTTTTTTCAGGCCTTTGGAAGTCAGACATTGGAGGTGAAACCAGCAAGATTTGTCTTCTGGGGATCGCATTTAAAACAAGACAGCAAGGCCTTATTTCTCCACATTATGTGCATCCAGAGTCTAAACTTCTATGCCAACATAGATATTGTGCATAGAACCTACTCATTACAAACAAAACTGCAATATTAGATGATTAAATCTCCACCTTCCACATCAGAATTCTGACTTTAAGGGATTCTCTAACAGGGAACCCAGACAACTGAAAATAACAATCTGTGTATAAAATTGGATTATATTGCCTTGATCAGATTACACATATATTCTTAGATTTTTATTTGACTTTTTTTGTTTTTTAAAGTGCCTTGAGATAATATCTGAGATAAAAGTGGCGCTCTATGAATGACCTAAAGTGAACCGCAGATAGAACAAGGAAGCCATTAGATATTTCACACTTTGCATAATTCTACTACTAATCCACCTTTAGTGAAACTAAGCCTTTTTCTATATACAACTTTAGCTAACTTATTTTTTAGTGTAAAATTTAAGAAAAAAAAAATACACCTAAGAAAACATTATTTTGATATTATTAAAAAATATTATTCATTGTTTCTTTATTTAAGGATTAATTACTAGATTTTTTTTTTTATCTTAATGCAAAAATCAGCAAAACGAAATTAAACTGTTTCTCCGTGTTTCATCTCTTCTTCGCTGCCTCCCTGTAAAATTCAGGAGTTTCAAAAGCTTAAAGGGCAAAATATCATCATTTTCTAAAAGCCATACCGCCTACAACCCTGGAAGTGTCAGATACTGTATAAATAAGTCATGATTGGCTTTTGCAACTATCTCTCCAAGCAGAGAAGTACATTTAAAAGATCATTATGAAATCTACAAATCCTGAGTTGCCATGTCACTCTCAGAACAACAGGAAGTAAAGCCATGTATGGATGAAGGCGTTCCATCCGCATCCACAGTGTCTGATGTTCTGCATAGGAATGTTCTCTTAAGAACACAAAACATTTAAGCCGTTCATGTTGGATGTGTGATCACTTATTGGCAAACCAGAAATACCATGGATCAAAGATATATATAGAAACATTAGACTGCAGCTGTCCTTTAAGAGAAGTTTCTCATGTAAAAAAAGTGATTTCTTCCAAAGTAATTCTAATTTTTCACACGTCCTCTGTCAGTGCAAACGTCTACAGATCACAATAAATCAAAAACCAAACCTCCTGCATTTTTATCCACAGTCATTGGCTTTAGCTGCATTTTTTTTCAATGTCCTAGCCAAATCAACATTCATCACTATTCTAATTTCCCGTGTGTAACACGGACATGAAGAGATTTCTTTAGGGACAGAAGATGGTTGTATGGAAACCAACTGCTGACAGCAGTGATCCTTTACTACATGTCTCCAAGCTACCGCCCTCAAACAACAACATATCGCACTTTGGGCTAATTGGCATCTATTTCTTCCTTTTATGAAATCAAACTGAAGTTGGTAGACATTGTGTTTTAAAGCGATCCAAACATAAAGTCGTGACTCTTCAGGGAATTTAAGCTGCCACTGTCTCTCTTCCTTTATATTTTTGTTGTTGTTTGTTTTGTTGATTTTTTTAAGATTTTTGTCATTTGCTTCCAGCAGATTCCTGTGAGCTCCTGCATGTAGATTAAATCGAAATGTATTTTTTCTGCTCTCCATCAAAGCTCTAAACCGCCAAATAAAAACTGTGATTGAAGGGGGAAAGTTTACGATCTATAACATTTTAACTTTATTTTAATGTTTTTATAGCATTTATTATTATTTAATTGATCTTAGAATTTGGATCATCTTTGTGGATGTAAGTATGAATGTTACGTGACTTTTAAGGGTAACCTATACTTATACCCAAGGAAAATTTAGTTGGATCTTAAAGGAGTATAATCTAATCAGGTAAATACAAAAACTATTGTGAGCAAGAAGCCTGAAAACATTTAAAATGAAAACCTTCTTTAAAAAGAAGGAAAAAAATATATACATATGCCTTTAAAAATCTCATAGCTCCTTTGTACTTACAGGCAAACTTACAGCAGCACGCATACATCTTTCCATGTACAGACTACTTCATTTCATTTGCATGAGTTAGCATAACAAGAAATAATAATAAATAAAAAAAATTGCAGATGCGGATCAGTGTATCTGGTCTCTTCAATAATGAGCTGCATGCTTACCTCCCCACCCCTGCTTTATTGACAGCTTTATGGCATTCACTGTGACCTTCACAGCCGACAACGCTGCTGCAAAGCTTCCGTAGAAAAACGACACGGTAGAAGGCATATGTGAATTAGAGTATACTAAATGTAAAGGAGAGGACTGCATGGAGAGAAATCTGCAGACTAGTCTGCAAGGCCCCCTATGATCATAAGAAAATAAAGAGGTAGGCTAACTCTGGTGAGAAGTGACACTTCAGTAAGATGCTGAAATGGCTTTGAAGCGCTCAAACATGCCACACAATATTTGCTTAAATAAAAATATAGAACACTTTTACACTGCATGCTTCAAATCAACCACATTACCTATTAAAATAAACTCTTTCTAATATATGCTTTTGCATAATTAGGATAAGACTTACTTTACTGAAGGAGACGAGAAAACTCATGACTGGTGCATGCATCACTATCTCCAGAATGTAAAACAAGTAGTAAACACAGATGAATGTAACCACACAGCACATTGAAAGTGTTTTGCTTGGATATTTTTTTTCTCTGGTTTTGAGATAACATAAGGAGAGATTTATCAGAATTCAGACACTCTTTTTATCTTTCTTATCGCCCGTCTGCATGACATCATTGAGAGAAAAGGTGAGGAATGCGATTTGCTCTAGTTCGCTTTCCTTCCCGCACTCCATCAGGCAGGAGAACTGATCCTTGTCCACGTTGTAGGCCAGGTCCGAGTAACCGCTCGGCCCCCTGTGGATGATCCTGGGTCGGTCCCAGCCCGACGAGTGCAGGGGGGATCGGTTCAAGTATACGCCCATGTCCCGCCGGTCGGACTTGTTGGTGGGGTGCATGAACAGGAGCCACGTTTGAGTGTCTGGTGAAAGGAGGGAGGTGCCGCAGGCTTTGCTCTCTGTGTCGTCGTTGGGGACAAACTCGGGCGCCGGGAAGCCGATGACGCTGCCTTGACACCCCGAGGGCTGCTCGACCAGCTCCCTGGCCATGTGGGGCTTATCGAAGTAGACGCCGCTGTTTTCACTCAGGGCTTCGCATCTGTGGCCTCCAGTGTGCCGGGCGTTGCAGTAAAGGTGGCTCCTCCCCTCGTGGTCGATAATCTCTGCCATTTCACACTCACACGACTTCTTCTGCAGCATTTTGCCGATACGCCATGTCTGTCCAAAGTCCTCGCTGTATATGGACAGCGCGCGGGGGTACACAGTAAAAGGAATGGGGTAGGAGCAGCATCGGTAGGGGACGTAGTAGGCATAGGCAGGAATGATCAACCTGCCGTTCTCCATCTGAACGCCGTGGCCCGGCCCCACGGCGAAGGTGGCCCATTTGTGTATGGTTTCCCCGATCACGCTCTCCGTCAGGTCCCTGGCTTGGCTCCAGGTTTGCCCGTCATCGCTGCTGCTCACACAGCAAAGGCGGGCTTTATTCTTACCTGTCACAATCTGCTTCATCTCTGTAGTGTTTCCCCAGATGCAGACGAAAAACAGGAAGAGCGTCTTGCTGTTTTTCTCATACACTGGGCAGGGATTCATGGTGCGGTGGTTCGGCAGGCTCGCCGTAGAAAGCTCCTGACTGGAGGACCACTGAAGGACAAAAAATTTAACATTATGAAGTTGTTATCCACTGACATGTAAAATTACATTTATTCTAAATTTTGCAAATTATAATCCCAAATTAGGATGAATTTCAAAATGATTTGACATGATGGATAAGGGTCTGTCAAGAGAAATATGTGAAAAGTTCCTTTCTATTAGCAAAACCTTTTTATGAAAAACAGAACTTTAACCAGCAGATGCATATTAAGAGTCCAGATAATCAATCCAAGGATTATGGATTGTTGTTCTCTATACAACCTGACTGACTTCGAGTCATTCCAATTTCTAGATTATATTGAAAGCCACTAATCATTTTTCTTTGACTTAAGAGACTAAAGAGGGGAGCGTGGAGACGGTTGCAACGTCTTTTTGCTTTACTCTCAAATTCATGCAGGCTAGTTGTATTTGAATGACAAGATTTAAACATAGTAACCTCACATCTATCTGCTTCACAACCACAGAGGAGCATCAGTTAGAAGCCTGACATTAGGCTAACAATGTGTAGTTTTTATTGCATTATTCAACTATTTTAGCTGATTATTTGTCATTTTCCTGTCACATAGCATATTTGGAAGAAAATAAGTTGGAGGCTATGCTGCATCCTAAACCTTTAGAGATCAATTTGATGACCCCTGACATATGAAACATTATTCTCTACTGCATTCAATAATTTGGCTTTCATGTATCAGTCAAGACACATCAGATCTTCACTATTGTGCTCATGAGGAAGAAGCTGCCACCCCATCTACCATCTTTGAACTAGCTGTGCTTGTTTAAAACTTCAGTTTTGCCCCATGGTGTCTATACCTGTTAGAAGCCAAGACACTAATGATTCTATATAACTTTGCAATCGCAAAAAAAAAAAAAAAAAAAAAAAAAAAATAATAATTAAATATAGGAATTGTTTACCTATATTGTCAGTTCTCTCTGGAGGAAATATGGGATGTACCACCATCAGAATGGCTAAATGAGTCTTGGTTAAATTAATGTTGCAGCTGTCACATGTTGCAACTGGTCCCAGTCTACCTTACTGAATTGTGCTGGTCTATCCCAGGACTCTGCAACCTGCAGCTTAGGAGCCAGAATTGGCCCTTTGGACCCTCTATATTGGCTATAGAGGCTAAAAATGCCCAATTTGGAAGCTTTAGTGGGTTTTTCATACTATCTCTGTGTTGTTTTTTCTGGAACAGAATGAGAATAACAGAACAAAAAAATGTTTATACATCAGTTTTCTTTTTGTTATCACATTGGAACCTATGTTTTTTTGTTTTGTTTTTCCTCATTTCAAAACCTAAAAAAAGACAAATCAATGTAAAATTATGTACAATTTGTGGCCAGTATTATTTGGGAGAAAAGGGGCTGTTTGGATTTCAAAGGCTTTAGTTTGTTTTTGTAACGTTTACCTGTTAGGCACTGCTCTATATTAACAAATGTGCATTAACCTGAACAGATCCATCCTCCTGGAGCAATCCTCTTCTCATAACCAAAAGTTTAGCGTTGTGATCTTGAAAGGAGGTCCTTTTCTCTGCAAAGGCGAGGAATGTGTGGCAGTGCCTCAGGTAGAGGAGAGCTGGGATCCTGTATGTGATCCCATCGGATTCTCTCTCAAACAAAGTAGTTTTAGGAGGCTCCTCCACGCTCACACCCTTTGATGATCTGTTCCCCATGGTGGATGAGAGCTCCTGCAACACACACATCAAACACACGCACACTAGCCTCGGTTGCTTTTATAATCTAGCAATAATAACCTTTGACAGAAGGAGTTCACACTCCGGTGCCTCCTCACACAGAGACCAACAGGCCGTCTGCATGAAGCATAAAACACGGAGCTTACCTTCACCTGTCACGCGTGACCTGCCTCTACCCTCGGCTCGGCGTCGGTGAGTCCATTTAGGTGCAAAACCAGGAACCTGTGATGTTCACGACACCGAGGCTGGAGGTTCATGCAGGAACGAAGACGCCGATGAAACAAGAAGTCATCTGACGTTCATTTCCGGAATCGACCGCCCTCTCTCCACAAAAAGTGACGTCGAGTTTAAATAGATGTTTCATATTTTCTTTTTAAGAATACGGGACGGGTTATTACGTTTGTTACTATTTGAAGCCACTTAGGTTACCAAGTATAAAAAAACACAAATTAAGTATTTAAAGTCTTTTATTATCAATTTTATTAAGAAAAATCCCTGTATGACTTGGCAGGGTACTATTTTGACCAATGCAGCTACTCTTTGATCAGTTCATTTTTGTTTTTCTCCTATAAACCTATTTCGCTACCGCCCCCTGCTGGAGGAGAGGACCTGTTCTCTCCTTTCATCCAGTTGCTAGGATACAGAGCGCCACTTTGTTGTTCAGGATCAGGTATACAGGCAGACAGAGGCTTCAAGAATGTAAGAACAGGCATGAAAAGTTGTTTGGCGTCGAGAAAACGGGATGACTTTAGAGCCTGCTGTGTTAAATGACCGGCAGAGGTTGACTAAAAGGTTATTTCAAGCCAGGAGATCACAGAAAGGAAGGGAAGAGGGTGAGTTAAATTAAGGCATATTCAACAGCAGTTTTCAACATGTTTGAGTTTGTTTTTTACACATCGCTGCAGTTTGCAAAAATATCAAAGCAAAATTTATTTATATTGTTTTTGCATAAGCAAAATGAGCGGCTGTTTACCTTACCGTACCCCAAACCAGAACAGTTGCTGTCCAACATTCATATAAAAAATTGGTTTATTGCAACACTGTGATATTTGGAAATACTACAGAGAAGATATTTCTTTGAGTCAATTTTACCGGCAAACATGTCAGTTTGGAGTCATCCGAAAAAAAAATCTTCTGGAGATTTTGGTTTACATCTGATGTGTTTTTAATTGACCTTCAGTCGGTAAAGTGTTTGCTTTTTCGTTTCTTCTCAACTTATCATCAAGAAAGCTAGAAATATGTATTACAAAGCGATTTAGAATCAAAAATATTTCAAGAGCATAACAACAGATCATCCAGGAGGATGTTCTCAATGGAGAACCCTAAACAACATGTAAGTTGAGGATTCAGCAAGGAGAAACTGGAATGGGAAAACTTTGCATCGATGGGACAGATAAAGACAGAAATTCCTCCTGAGTAACATTAACAATAAAGCCTTAATGCCTTAATGATGGAACCAACCTTAAAGGTATAGTGGAGGATGTTCTTTTTCTGGGTGGATCATCAAAATAGGTGGTTCTCCTAATTTTCAATCATTCTGGTGATATGTTTACGTGCTTGTCCCCATTTTCACTTACTTGTGGTGAGTCTGACATCAGGGGCGGATCCAGGATTTTTCAAAGGGGGGTGCGCACCTAAGGGTCATGGGGTCACGGGGTCAAGGGTCACGGGGTCACAGGTCAAGACAATGTGAGGCTAAAAGACCAAAGAATACCATCTTCACTCTTTCACACTACCCTAATTATTCATCCAAGGGTTTTTAATTGATAATTTTAATGGATGAACATAAGTAGAATTAGCATGATTACATTATTGTAATTAAAAAAGGATCTCTCGGTTTTTAAAGCATGCACAAGGTTAAAAGGTAGTTTGAAGAAAAAAATGATCATCAACAATTAATCAAACAAGGAGATTCTTTATTTCCAGAAATGATATTTACACAGAACATGAAATAAAAAAAACCCAAGGACTTGGGTTCAAGTATAGTTCAAGTAAGACAAAGGAGTTTTTTAGTATATTTTAACAAGATAAACTGTTGAAAAACAAAAAAAAAAACAAAGTTAAACCGCACAAAGAATATTGTTCTCTACTACAAACTTTATGATGACGATAATTGGTTTACAAATGTCAGCCTTCTGGGATGCTTCTGGGCAAATATGTCTATGATTTTGTTGATGTCTAACTGAATGTCCTTGTGCACATACAAAAAAAGCAAAGCCACAAACCTTTCCTGTCCCGTTGTTGAACTCAGCAAAGTTTTCACTGCTTTAAGACCCGAGTTAGCACTTTCCACAGAAGCACTGGTAACAGGTATGACTGACAGAAGGTGAAGAATCATATAAATGTTTGGGTAGCACTTCATATTTGTTATCTTTAGAATTTCAGGGAGAGAGCTGGGTTTTTCCACTGATGATGACCACTTTGTGTGCCACAACTTCACTTCCTGCCTGAATGTTGATCCTGACGGTAGATCATCTTTATATGATGTAAAAATGATAAAAAGTCATACTTTTCCAGCCAGTCCCTCTGGCATGTTCTTTTGGTCACCCCACTGGCTCTCCGGTTGTCTTTAAATTCTCTGGCAGGGAAACTGAAAGATTTGGGTGGTTTTCTGGTCTGAAGAAGCTGGAATTTTCCAGAGTCATCCATTTCACTAATCCGGTCCTTGGCCTTTGATATATCTGTAATAAGATTGATATTTACATTGTCAATTTTGTATGGATGCTGCTGGAGTTGTAAATTTGCCTACATGAAGCTTTTGTATAGTCTTGCTTTATTATGAAATAATTATTATGAAATGTAAGATTTCAAGATTAAGCAAAAAAGTCAATCGTGTAAAACAAAAACAAAATTAGTTGTTTTGACATTGAAAAAAATACAACTATTACTACTACTATAAATACTACTATATTTCGTAAGTTGTTTGGGGCAAATCCGCTTGGTTGAGCGCCGGCTCTTCAGTTGTCTTTACACGAAACACGGTCCTTGTTGTTCATCTGGAAAATAAAATAATTTTTGTGATCAGGGGAACCTTGTAATCTCAGGAGGAGCCACAAAACAATTTAATGTTGTGTTTTTATAGTAAATTATTAAATTCACCGAACACATATCACCAGGTGCACAAAACTGAATATACTTAAAAGTAAATTGTATTTTTATTGTAAAATATTAAATGCACTGAAAACAAATAACACCAGATTTGTAGTTATCATATCACAATGTTAACAAGACTCCCTTAGACTCCAAGCATGTGCTTAGAGCATTCATTGATTTGGATCCTTACCAATTGATAAAAGTTAGTAATGTTTTCATAAAGGATACCATTCTTATTTTAACAGTACAACACATGTGGTACAGGTTTAGACCCAAAAATACATACTACAAAATAACTATTGTATGCATGTCAATGGCAACTAATGTTGCTTATTTTTGTTAATTGTACACTCTTTTTATTACTTATCAAACACTGCAATTTAACTTTCCCGTTACTGGTTAAAGTATTCCTACCATTGCATTACTTTGCAACTTTAGACAACTTGTTTATCAACAATCAACAATGTTGATAATGTTTTCTCATTATCAACATTTTCTAGCAATCATCATACCTTTTATCTGTGTGTCTCCAATATCTGAACGTTCATACAGGTCAACGCTGTGGTCATTTTGTGCCAGGTCCACTGAAGAATAGAAAACAAGATATAAACATTTCAATCTGTGTTATTTAGATTATAGATGTAAGCCTATAGGAAATAAAGTGATAAAGTTGGTTTCTACTTACCCTTCTGTTGGATTGGACCAGAATCTTAAAAGAGATGGTTGTCTGGTTTTCTTGTTTGGCCTTAAATCTTCCAGGTCTCCTCGTTCTCGCAAAGACGCCATTGTGGTATGGCAAGCCGATTGGGCCAATAATCGTCCGTACAATAACGCGCAGTTCCAACCGATATTTTACGCGAGCGCGCGTTTTTTACGTCACCGCACGTTTCCAGCCAGAAGGCGCGGTGACGTAAAAAACGCGCGCTCGCGTAAAATACGGGTTGGAACCTCGCGTTATTGTACGGAAGATTATTGGCCCAATTGGCTTGCCATATCCCAAAGGGGGGTGCGCGCGCCCCCCGCGCCCCCGCCTGAATCCGCGCCTGGACATAGTGGAAAAATGGCAAATCTTCTTTTGGAAAGTAAGCTTGTATGAGATATGCAAACAGCAACTTTTAAACATGCGTGCACATGGAGAAATGGGCATGCTCACGCACACGTTTAATAGGTGTTCCCTCTCAGGAGCGGGTACAGGGTTGTGCATGTGCATCTTTTTTTTAAGTGGAGCGGGGGATCTTTTCAAAAATTCACAAAAATCATCCACTGTACCTTTAAGGATAAATACACTTATTTGATAAAAGGGATTTAAGCAGCATGGCACTGATCCGTGTTAGAATAGCATATTCACTCATTCATGGCTAAAAATAAAGACAAATTAAAATAATAGCTCCGATTAGTGAAAGTTCAGACTTAAATTTGAATGAGATGCTGTGGGATGACTATAATCATGCCGGTCAGGCTTAAAATTTTATTTAAACCATCTGCAAAGTAGAGAACCAAGAATACTTAACAGGGATGTAAAACATAAACTGTCCGTTCTCACAGTAACCTGCTGGTAAATGTTTCCTCCAGGAATGACATTGACCATTTGGTAGATTCAAGAGGCAAATATTATTTTCCACAATCAAAAGTTGTTTTGGATATTTTATCCAATTTAGATTTACAATTTGAATCTGCTTTAATGTGTACTTGCTCAGGTTTTTTTTTTTGTCAGAGATATAACCTCAAACATTCAAGGGTGACCAAAAAATCCATCCATGCATCCTATTTCTGTCATGCTTATTACTGCTGGGGTCGCGAGGGGTGCTGGTGCCTATCACCAGCTGTCTACGGGCGAGAGGCGGCGTACACCCTGGACAGGTCGCCAGTCCATCGCAGGGTAACGAGCATTCACGCACATAGTCACACCTAAGGAGAATTTGGAGAAGTTGTGGGAGGAAGCCGGAGTACCCGGAGAGGACCCACCCATGAACAGGGAAAACATGCAAACCAAAAATGACTAAAATAACTAAATAAAAGATTTTTTAAATATTTCTTAGCTTTGGTTTTTATGGCAATAGATCCATCAGCATGGGAGAGGAGGCTTGTATTTTGAAAGTTCTTGTGGAAGAAAGCGGATCTTGTTGTTAAAAGGTGGTAACCACAATGTGTATGCAGATTTATAATGAGTAAAGGTGAAGTGTTAAATAAATGGTAATTACCCAAACCTTGAAATGGCTTCAAGTCTGGTGCTAAAACATTTATTCAGATCAATAATTATTTATCGGTTATTGAAAAAATCGTCAACTATTTTAGTCATAGATTAATCATTATATATATCTATATCTATATCTATATCTATATATATATATATATATATATATAGATAGATAGATAGATAGATAGATAGATAGATAGATAGATAGATAGATAGATAGATAGATAGATAGATAGATAGATAGATAGATAGATAGATAGATAGATAGATACACATTTTGCATTTAAGATAAAAAAAATCCTTTTAGTCCATCAATGCAGAACTCCTCAAGTGGAAAATTTTTACTTTCATCTGGTTTGATTCTATTAAATAAAAAATCTTACTTAAGGAAGCTTTTGCTATCCCCTTATTAACTGATTTATTGAAAAAATAATTGAAAGATTAATCGATTCATTAGCTGTAGCCCTATTCAACTCCTAAAGTTATTCGAATAAAAGATGTAGGGCAATGAATGTATAAATTACTTCTTTTTTTTTTATGTAATGATAGCAATTTTAAATTCTGTAAAACAGTAAACTTAAAATCATTAGATTTCAAAGGTGGTAAATCTGGGATTTAAAGGCTTGGAGTTTATATTTTAGTTTATTTTGTAACCACTTGTTATCTTCAAATTGGAAAAATCAGCTAATTTGTTATTTTCTCTCAAATCTAGATGCAGGTCGCTTGTTTAGGGCACAGAGAAAGCAGCACAGGGAGAACAGGAAAGGTGCAAACAATGAGGGAAAAGTTGAGACCACATTAGATGGATGCCTCTTGGTGAGAAACGGTACCTTATATTGCATCATTAAAAACAGCTTCTGAACCCCAGTTAGTGATCTGTTTATCCCTGCAGCTCCGGTTACACCACATAGACGAGCCATCTCAGCTCTGCTCTGTCGTCATCAGTGACCAGAAACTGAATTCTGTAAGAAGCTTCACATGTTGTTTGGCTTTTTAAAGGTGAAACTGACTCTAAACACTTTCCCGACCTTTTAGGTGGAGCCAGAGGAGCTTAAGGCCTTTACAAACGTAGCCTACATCAATGCGTCCGATAACTTCCTCTCTTTAGGTGATGCTAATTCCTCGTCAGCCTGATTTCCCTCTTTTTCTTGCTTCCCTGTTAAATTCTGTTATCCTCTGCAGGATTGTTCAGCTGTTTCCCGTCTTTGAGAGAACTTGATCTGTCTTTAAATCGAATCAGCAACATGGTCTTTGATGCTGCTGCATTCCCTCACTTGGAGGTAAGACCTTGATATCATGACAATGACCTTGAAAACAACCTGGAGACGCAGAAAATTATAATTGTAAAAGTATCCTTTGAACTCAAGCCTATTAAATTAACCCTGCATGATAAAATGATAAAACAGGTTTATTTAAAATGTATAAACATCAGATTAATGCCTTCAGTTTTAATAAAGTATACTTAGTCAAAATGAATGGTAATGAATGTATTTATTCCATATTAGTGAAAGCCCTTTGGGAAACTCCTCCAACTCCCATTGTCATTGTGACACAGCACACACAAGTGAACACTGCACACCATGAAATTGCATTTATGCCTCACCCGTGCAAGGGGGCAGCCCTCAATGGCGCCCCAAGGGAGCAGTGTGGCGGGACGGTACCATGCTCAGGGTACCTCAGTCATGGAGGAGGATGGGGGAGAGCGCTGGTTAATTACTCCCCCCACCAACCTGGCGGGTCAGGAGTCGAACCGGTAACCTTTGGGATCCAATTCTGACACCCTAACCGCTCACCCACGACTGCCCACGATATTAAGTTTACTGCTGAAATTACATAAAGGTAACTTGATTATTATGCAATTCAAATAAATCAACTTTACGTATTCGAAATAAATACACTAATTAGTATTAATTTGAGTAAGTATACTTAATTAAATTCACATTACATTTATGGGTTTTAAATAAATAATCTATATTAAATCAATGCATATGCATCATTCAAGGTTTATTTAATAGATTTGTGTTAAAATAGTCTAAAAAAATTAAATGGAAATTTATGTAATTAAATTACATACATTTTACAATTTGGATTAAATATTTTTTGAGGGTATTTATGGTGCAAAACTCTAAATATAAGCCAACAGCGGAAGAAAACCTGTTAGTGGCTTTAGATCTAGGTCTTGGATGGAGATTGGAATAAATAAAATAAAGAATCTGCAGCAAATGGAAGGTGAATTGGAGGAAGCAGATTTCCATAAAAAAATCACCAAAATAAGAGACTGTGTAAGTATTTTTATTATAACTGAGTAAAATAAAACAAATGTACACACTGTGCTTTTTTTCTGTCTAAAGAAAACCAGCAACTTTCTATGTACAACAATATAAAAATTGTGCAATTAATAGCAGACGTGTGAACGCTTTGAGTTCTCTGGGAGCTGTGATGGTTTCAGAGTTCTGCTAGGAGGAAGAACCAGCACTAACCAGGGTGTGAAGTTCACCTTCCAGCTGCGTTAAATCAAATTATATTCAAGTCTGAGAGTGGCCTACTGTAGTCAAACTAAAGACCTGACTGTGACTGAGGATTACATTCAGGTTATTCAGGATGTTTTGGCACACAGATCAGCCTCTGCACATACAGAGAGGGTTGGCAAATACTCCAAAAATGCTACAAACATTACAAATAGTTTTTATTTTTATATGATAAACTGAAAACGTTCTGACTATTTCTAATTCAATTTGTTTAAACGTTCACAGGTCTTAGATCTATCCTACAACAGATTACCACCTGAGGATTTACTCCCTCTCGGTCAGATCCCATGTCTTAAAACTCTTCATCTGTCTGGAAATCGGCTCCATAGTCTTCCTCCTGGTTTTGGTTCCACTCAAGCGGATCAGTCTGATATGTAAGCTCATCAGGAACTAAAGAGGCTACTTATAGAATTTAAAGGTTTTCTTTATAATCTACTTAAAACAAATCTACTAGGTTGTGACCAAATAGGTTAAAGTATGATAGATGTGAGGTTTTTATGACAGTTTTTTTCTTTTCTTTCATCACTAACACCCTTTTATGCTGAAAATAAATCCTATTTTAACATTGCATTGGAAAAACCTTTGAAGTTGTGTTAAATCTGACCAAAGGGTGGCGCACAAGTTCATCAAATTTCCAATCCTTTTTGAAACCACCAGTTTTAGACACTACCTATTTACCTGCATTATTCAGATTATTCACTGCTCATCTGTACGTATGAACAAACCTCAGAGTTGAAATGAACTGCAAACTTTTTCTCTCTATATTTCTGTATTCGTAGGTGTTTTGATCAGGGAGCCAAACAGTTTGAAGCTCTTGAAGTCCTGATGCTTGATGACAACAGATTGACTTCTAGTGTTTTCTACAGCCTCAGGAACCTTAAGAGGTATTTGTAAGGTTCAGGGTTTGTTTTTATGTTGTTGCTTTTTTTTAAATAAAACTCTTATTATTTATTTCTCTATGCACCGTGCACAGGCTGAAGCTTCTAAACCTACAGGGAAACCGTATTTCTGAAATACCTCATCTGGAGATGCAGGAGGGTCCAAATCTGGGAAGGCAAAGTGAAGATGAAGGTAAAGAGGAAGGAGATTTTTTTCTTTCCATCCTTCTCTCTATGAGCAGTAATATAAACACAGCTCCTCACCCAACGTTGTCTGTCAGAGTTCCAGTTTTATTTATTTGATGAAATAAGTAGATGCGGATCATTGCCCTGCTTCGGGTATTCTATATAGCCTTAATTTCTAAAATGCACCATTCAATACTGAAATGTCTTTATTAAATCATTTAAAATGCATATAAAATGATGAATTAAATAATTGCATGTCAAATAAAGTTTATATTTATCTAATAATTAATATAATTCATTTTATATTCATGAATAGATATAGATTTAAGTATTTATATGTATTTTTAGGGCATCTCAGATTAGTTTCTGGAACTGGATGGACGGACGGATGGACAGATGGATATTTTCGACAGTTATAATCTTTCCTAATAATTCTTTTCTTTCCTCTTTCAGCCCACACAGAGTCTAAAATCGACCACCGTCTCCAGATTATAGACTTCTTTCACTCAGAGAGGGAGGGAGGCTTTAGAGGCTCCAGTCCGTTTCTGCCTGAACTTCAACGCCTCAGTCTAGCTGACAACGAGGTGGGCTGCTTGATGACATTTTAAACCATTTATGGTCGTCTGTCACATCTCATCTGTGTTTTGTTTTCTTTTAATCACCAGATCATATCAGAGGAAGCTCTGGTTCCTGCGGCTCTTTTCCCCAAACTTTGCGAGTTAGATATTCACTCTAACCCTCTGATCAAAAAGAAAAGAGGTTTCCCTATATTCTAAAGTTTTTAATTTGTCTCTAAGTTGGTTTCTGAATTGTTTAAATGTCCTTTTTTGTTTGTTTGTTTGTTTGTTTGTTTGAACCCAGGAGACACACCTTTACTGACCTACTACCTTCAAGAAAAACTTGGAATAACTATAAAGAAAAAGATGGTTAAAGATGTTCTGAAGTTTCCCCACAGGATGTCTACTTATCCAGGATGGGAGGTCGGGTTGTTCTGTTCCATGAACAAATAATGACGAAACTATAGACTTTCTTTCAGTCCTCTAACCGCCTTTCAATTGAACCCAGAGAAGATTAAGATGCATTCAGCTGATCATTGCTTGAAATAAAGGTTTAGATTAGAAAGGAGGCTACATACAAATAGAACTGAATAGAAAATCCCTTCATTGTCACACAATGAGGAAATTCTGGTGTTACAGCAGTAAAAAGACTATAGAAAAAAATGGTTACACAAATGTGGACCTTAGCAACATGTATAAGAATAATATAATAGTGAAGAGTAGTGAAGATAAACAATAAAATACTGTACTGTAAAATGTTTTAACAATATGAAAAAACTGCACCTGAAGAATAAATAACCAGTATAAAGCTGCACTAAAAAAAAAATAATGCAACCTTTTTAAGCATTTACTCAATCATATTTAGTTATTTTAACACAATTGTTTCATTTTAGCAGAGTAGGACATAAAACAATTGTTTTAAAGTAACTTAATATGACTACTTAAATGCCAAAAGTGGTTGCATTATTTTTTTTTCAGTGTATGGACATTTTTACAGTAATTTGAAAATAGCAGCAACATCAGACATGTGCAAAATGACAGCAGCATGTTATTTAACTGGATAAGGCGGAAACTGTGCAAAATCAGCTTGAATGTAACTGACCGCCTGCTGGAACCTTTGCATGCATGGTTATACTTTTATTTTGATCCTTTCCAGGTTGAAGAAAGCCTCTCAAAGCTGTCACACAGGGCTTTTATACCGGATGCAGCGCATGTGAGACACAGGCAGGGAATCAGAGGTAGTAGGAGAGATCGGGGAACAACACGGTCCGAGGACAAGAATAAAAATACATGTCAGGAAAATGCAAAACAATTCTTTATTACTCAGGTATTTTATGGTTGGAATATTAAAACTGTGAGATTACTCTGGTTTAGAAGATAAAAAAATGTCAGGAAAAATTTAAAATGCCTTCTGTTTTACATGTTTTTCTGTTTAATGCTCAGATAGAGGGTAAAACTGAGCTCCAGCTGGATTCTTCTTCTAATCAGAAGGAAGCTGCACAAAACAAAGAGGGAAATAGAATCATGCCGAAACGACCCACATGCTACGACATGATAATGGATGCCAAACCACTTCCCTATATCGGTTGGAGGGATATATCTGCAGCTGTTTGATATCCAAGACAAAACTCTGACTATACGTTAATCCCAGAGAAAATTATGCCCTTCTCTGCTCTTCTCTCACAACAGGAATTCAAACAGCTGTCTGGATGCTGGAGCGAACACTAAGGAAGCCGAACATCTACAGAGACTCCAAACCAAGACTTGATAGCATCCAGACACCATACAGAGAAATGAAAAAGAGGGTCTGTTTTTTGTTTTTTTTTTGTTGTTTCTTTTTACCACAATCCCTGCTTCTAGATTCGTATAAATCTAAATGTGCTGTTATGCTGTCTTCTGCTTTTCCTGGGAGCAGATAAAGGACCTGCCACCTCTGAAACCGATAAAACCACCGACTCAAAGGGTTGAGGAGTTGATAAAGGAAATGAAAGAAAGTACAACAGTCAAAGTTGTAGCCTTAGGTATGCAGGTCTTCTGTGCTCGCCACACATTTTGGCATCTTTTGCTTTTAATCCTTTGCACAATCTCCTTTTACCAACAGAACAGCTCTTTTTCTATAAACCTTGGCATGGTTGAAGCATACAGTGAGACAGATCTTTGCTTTTATGAGTCCTAAATCTGATAGAAAAACTGTGGAGGCAGCAAAAGTTTAGGGCGATTCAGGGAGGGCTTTAGAGCTCAAGTGCTCAGAGCTCAACGCCAAAGATGTCAGTGGATATATATCAGTGGAAATATGCAAAAGGCAGCATTTTATAATGGGGGATGACTGATGTAATGCCAATAAAGACTTATTGAGATAGGTATCATAAATTTTAGGATTATAATGACAGAGAAATTCTGTATAGCTATTCACTGCCAATTAATTATCGCTGTACTTTCTGTGCAGGCACTGCTATTCACAACAAAGAAGTTAACAGAGCAGATTATCAAGAAGCTGTACGTCTGCTGAGGGATCTAAAGAAAAAACACAAGATGGTCTATGAGAAAACAATGGAACAAGAATCCAGGGTTCAGTTTGAAAGACGCAGAGCTGAGCATCCACCTCTGTAGACGACGTTACTTTGAGTGAAGTGGAAGAAAATAAAACACTTGTCAAAGACAACAAGTCACGATTACCTTTCTTTTTTCTAATACCGGTAATAAAGACAGATTCTGCACAGCTTATAAAGATCCACAGAACTGAATGAAAGAAAAAGCCATGCAGTGATTATGCATCCACAGTATCAAACTTCAAATTGAACTCTCAAGCACAAGTGTCTGCAGATATGATTTCATCTGCAGAAAATGTATTTATCTAAGCTGCCTTTTTGTAATGTTTTGGGGCAGCTGCTTGCATCGCGGCTGTGACCACAGTTAATCCACTAAATATGCCTCCTATACATTTCGCAGGGTTTAATTGCAAAGATGAGCAAGTGGTCATTTTTAATTTCTTAGACAGATTTTATTTTATATTTTTAGAGAAGCATTTGTAACCTTTGGCCTATTTTGTTTCAAACAGAGCATGAACCAAAAAAAAAAAAAAAACCTGAAAAATACATCCTCCTAGGTCTGCAGACACACTTAAAATAATTTTAATCTGGTATTTGTTAAGAATATAAAGTATTATTGGTTGTATATTATCCCCTGAGCCAGTTATTTATAAGCAGTTTTATCAGAAATGAGCAAAGTGCTTCAGAGCTGGAAGTGTTTGAAACTCTAAACAGACCTCTGCTTGATTCAGTATGATTTATGACCCAAATTACTGAAGCAATTCCCCTCTGAGTTCCGGAAAATTAACAAAGATGTCTTACGACTACAAAGAACAAAAAGCTGATGCATTTTACTGAAACGGGTTGATTGGAGCTATCCTAAGTTTCCAGCTCTGCTGCGCTCTCGCTGCTCGTCCGCTCTTTGATTTCATGGTTCTGTTGCTCATATGACTTCCATTATTTGTTTTCTGAGCAGCTTGCAGATGTGGAATGCACATCCAGCCTCAGTGGAATAAATCTGTTGGCAGCGTCAGGACATACCAAGTGTTTCGCATGTTTACATTCATATAGGAATATCTATCTCCTTCTGTTTGGAATGGATGATGAATAACTAATTTGTTTTCCAACACCAAGTAAACTGGTAAAGGTAAATAAATAGATGCCTTGAAGAGGGTGTCCATTACTCAATTAGTTTGACGCACAAGAAGAACAGCCTGGCAGCTTGTCCATCATAGATTAAATTCTAAACTGAACCCAAAGGGTAGAAAAGACAATTTATATTAACAGAAAATTTCATTTTTACCCAGTAAATTTAACAGTTTAGTAAACAAATCTAATCAAATTTATTTTTATGTCCATTCAGTAACGATTTTTAGCCAAATGAAGTTTAATGAAGGACCTAACCATTACCAAGAATGTGTTTGAGTCTCTGATGTTAAGAGGGTGACTTTTTTGGACTTATATGACAATTTAAGAAGTGAAGACATCTAACAAGGGATGCAAATGTTTCAGGGCCTCCTTGGTAGTCTTAAATTATATGATACCAGACTGACAGCAGGGTTTAAGCTGCCTTAATTTTGGTCCAGAACATAATGTTTGCCTCCTACAATAGACTAGACTAGTGCTGTCTTAAGGCCAATTTATACTTCTGACGCATAGCCTCTGCAACCATCGAATCACTGTGCGCGCCCATGCCCCTGCACAGAGGCTCTGCCACCGTCGTCGCGCACCTAGAAACAATCCTGATCACATGTCGGAAGGTCGTAAACCCGAGCAGACCTCAAGCGGAAGCGCGCAGACAAAAAGCAGCTGTGATTGGTCCTCGGTATGCCTTTCCGGCTGTCTGTGTGGTCGTCCGCGCTATTTTTAAAAACCGAGGAGTAATAACAACAATGGATAACCACAACCAAAGGTTGATTGAGGAGGTTGAGAAGTACAACCCCTTGTACGATGCCTCAGACATGTTGTTTTGGCAATTAAACACTGCCGCTGCCGCTGTCGAAGAAGTTCCCGTGAACATCCGCCAATGTTCTCGCTAGTTCTAGAATAGTCTCCCTCTAGCACTACTGCTGTGTGTCTATAGAAATTCCAGACCGACTTTGCAGAAGCATACCAGCAAAACTGGTGCGCAACCAGACGCAAGCAACATTTGATGTGTGCGGTTGCAGAAGTTAATCCACCCTTTAGGCCTTTCTCTTTTTCCGTGAAGTTGATGGGGGGGTCCGACATCATGCCTCTTACTTACATCATGCCAGTAAGATGGCCGTGCAGCCATCTCTCAAAGTAGAACAGCAAAATCCCCTACTGGTTCACAAATGGCAAAACCAGTTGTGGAATTTACTGTCACAGTTCTAGAAATGTAAACTTACAAGCTGAATTCTCGCTGTATTTGTGTGTTCACAAACGCATGACAATTCGTCCTGTCCTGCTCCAACAGTTGAACACTGACACAAAAAGAATTGCCCAATCACATTGCAATATTATGGTTTAGGAAGGGACCCATAGCTGTGATTAGAAGTAAGAACTGCAAACCCCATAGCCGAACAAAAACAAACATGGCAATGCAGAAGGATGCAATGCCAAAAGCGTAAATTGTTACGTGACCCAGTTCAGGGTCCTCCTGTCCCTCAATGGGGGACAAATCACCTGGACAAATCAGACCGGAGCAGTGGGAGATCAGTGCGAGTAAACAGAACCAGGACCAGGCTGCCAGCCGTGTCATCCTCTAGAACCATGGAATCACAGCAGGAAATTGGAGGAGCGCACTAGAGCGAGGAGAGGATGCAGAGTGGAAAGCCCTCTAGGGAAACAGCACCAGCATGGAAATGGTACAACTGGCTAGAACTAGAGAAGCTAACTGAGGAGGACCAGTGTAGCACAGCAGCAGATTGGATTAGTCCACCAGGGAGACAGAACACTGAGGGCCAGTTAGATGACGAAACAGCCCTTCTAGATCTACGACTAAATGAAAACAGTTTTTTAATTAAGTCAACTTAATTCCTTTTAAGAGCAATCCAACTTCATCCATTGTCAACATTATTTTCTCTATCTTCCATTTGTAATTTAAAGAATAAAGCTTGTCTCAGCAGCGCTCCCTCTTTGTAACTCACAGCCACATCTAGCCCGACTGGATTTCACAATCCAAATGTAACCAAAAGACTTTTCAGCTTCATTCGCAGGCAAGGCGGCGATTAAAGGTCACTTACTTAGTCGAAATTGTACCTCTCGCCTCCCTTTAATCGCCACTGTCGCCTCGTTCAACTTTGCTCTGCTTTTCTTCACTCAGCTTTGCTTCGCTCCAGATCTGCCCTCTATAGAGGTGAAACGGGAATCCTTTGTTCCAACTGCGAAAATTTGCATTCGATGTGAACGTGCCTTCACAGAAATTCAAAGATCTACGTGTTTTTTTTTCTCGCAGATCAAATTTACCTCAAATGGCTGCATATTTTATTTGAGAATAAATTTAGCAAGTCATTATAAAAGATTAAATTAAATAGGTAGTCCACCTTTTATAGCAATAGACGTTCAAATAGAAATCTGCTTTTGATTTGACTCAAGAAGCAAAGGTTACTGCAGCAATTAATAACCTGAATGATGACACCAAACACTTGCGTCCACTCTGAAAAAACACCTCACATCTTTATTGGTAAAATTACTGTTTATGAGAAACCATATTTTCCAGTGTAGTGGGGCTCACCCTTTGAAGGTGGCTTATGTGTGTGGTGCCAAACTTCCACCGTATCTGAAAACAAAAAGTCTGAAATGTAATATTAATCTATAACAATCTTAAATGAGCTATCTTTAATCCTACATTTTGGTTCCAGGACCACTCAAGAAAAAACTCTTTGAGAAGATGTTTACTAACAAGATACAGTCTCCCACCCGGGGAGTTCAGTTAATTACACATTCTGCAGGACAAACATGCTGTTTCAAAAGAAATTTGAAGTGATAAATATGAAAAATAGAATGTTTAATGGTTACATAAATGCTGTGATATTTCATGCTGGAGCTATTTGATGTCTGAACTTGTGCAAGAGGCTTCTGTAAGCATCTGTGTGCTAACAGTTCTGGCCAATCATCATAGCAACAAATGGTTTTACATTTAAAGCAAAGACCAGATGTCAAACTTCAAAGCCAACATAGTTACGGTAAGTCCATATCTGGAAAAAAAAGAAAAACAACAAAAAAAAAGGGGCTGCAACATGAGTAGTTTGAGGAAAAAATTGCCTCAGTTGCATAAATGTTTAATTGCACTCAATTTTGCATATTTAAAAGCAAATGTTAAAGATGCTTTAAAGAGTTTTGTAATGATACTGCCACCTGTGGCCAAAGCACGGAACTACAGCACACTTCTGCTCGTTCTCATAGCTCACGATCTCACTTGACAAGTTTTTTTATTTTTTACTTTTTTCTCCTTAGGTGGAGTTGCTATGAGTGTCTGAGCTGAGCTGGTGGCTCCTGAGTGTCCACAAAATCCATATTGAATATATTGCTTCCATTGTTAAGTTGGATTCATTTAACATGGATATGCTTGATTTCACATCTGCCAAACACTGTGGAAACCTCAGATTTAAAGTAAATTTAGCAAAATAAGCTACAGGCATATAGATGCATCGGCACCGAACTACTGAGGTTTCAGTGTGCTCATCAAATTTTCATAAAAACTTACACAATATCTCTTTAAGCTCTAAAAGTAAACTATAACGTTTGTTCCCAGCAAATGTTAGGCAATATTGTGTTGCTAATTAGTATGTTGCTTTCTTGCTATATATATATTTTTTTACCATATTCCATTTAAAAAGAAATCCAAAGAGATCCAAAAAGCAACTTGTTCCAAAAAGTTTTTGGAACAAGTTGCATAAAATATCAGTTGGAAAGGCGTTTCATTTTGATGATATGTGGTTTGTGGATTAAAATGCAGTTAATTGTGATTAATTATTAAAGACTCTTTAATTAACTTGTCCCACCACTACGCAATAAATGGTTTTAAACACCTCTTAAGATGGGTAATTTATTAAATGAATATCTAACCCTGACATCCTGGGTTCTGTTGGACCTTACCATGTTTGTGCTTCCCTGGGCAACCATGAGTAGAGGAAATTTTTTTAAAATCATGCTATTTACAATTGTCTCC